GTGTCGTTTGTATGTGCAGAGTGCCGCCCGAGGATGCCAGCGACCTGTCGACGGTGAGAGGCCATCTCGAGACGGGCTCATACACGTAAGGCGTGAGTGCTTTGAGAGAGAACTTGAGATCAATAAGCTTCCACCATTCCACACGCTCACTGCCTCTCTGTGTGTGCTGGGGCGCTCACTGCACTGATTGCCAGCCAACCGGAGGACTTTCGTCGCGCCATGATGCGGATACCGTTGATAGTGCGCCGACATGGCGGGGCCAACTCACCTGAGAGTCAGGTGCGCAGCTTGCAGCCAGAGAGGGAGAGATGCGCGTGTGGGGTGATGTGTGTGTTGTGTTGTGGTGTGTTGTGTTGTGTTGTGTTGCGTGCAGGTGGTGGATGGCTTCCAGCAGTTGTTTCAGCAGCTGTACAGCAGCGAGATGCTCGCATTCCTCTCGGAGGGGCAGCACTGAGCTAGTGATGCATGTCATTGACCGACAGCGCCAGTCTTGCATTCGCAGATCTGCAGCTAGCCACGACAAGGAAGGGTCTGGGCAAAAAGTTGACTTCCTCCAGCCGAAGCTGGCTTTTTGGTCTGCGATCGAGCTGTCGATCTGGGGCAGAAGCTGACTTTCTGAGGCAAAAAGACCGCTTCCTCCCACCAAAAAGATGGCTTCATGACCAAAAAGATGACTCGCCATTGCAAAAAGATAGATCATCCACCAAAAAGACAGTTTCGTGACCAAGCAGCCAACTTGCTGCTGCCGAAAGATGGCCTTCTCACGCAGCATGACAGCCTTCTGAGGCACAATGACAGCCCTTTGACCAGCCTGACAGCTGCTCGGCCACAAATCACACCTTTGCAATGAGAATGGCGACTTTTTGACCATGAAGCCAACATCTGCTTGTCAGCACACATGCAACGTCACTGTCAACACACACACACACACACACACACACACATACACGAGGCTACTGTATCAACACCAGACACACAGACAGCCCGCCTTCTCTCCTCACAACGCGGCCCGCTGCAAGAAGGTCTAGAGGATTCTCGAACCCAACGGCCTTGGCCAGGCGGGCCTGCAGATCTTTTGTGCGTATGGATTGCCGCATGGCTGATCTGTGGCCCCACAGAGATGTGGGTGGGCGAGGGGAGCTATGGCCCCGACTGCGAGGAGGGGAAGGACTGCAGCGCCGACGTGAATGGTACGTGTGGCGGCGAGATCTATCACGAAAGGGAATGGTATGGTCCATGGATGGGATGGGATACTTCTGTGGCCACACTCAGGAGATCCAGGCCACTAAGCACACGACTACGGCCGTAAACAAGCACGGTACACCCAGATCTTTGTGTGCTGCACACGTGGTGCCCTCTCTGAGAATGTTTTTGTGGGCAGGTGCTGTGTTGGGTGCTGGTGAGTTGTCGGCATTGCAGCAGATCCAGATGGGCAAGGCCATCCTGCAGTCGGCCATCAAGCTCACCAGTGCCACCAACGAGCTGAGCGGCTCAGCCCTCGCCGCCATCGACAACGTAGAGAGCCGCATCCGTGGCCTCACAGGTACACACACACACACACACACACACACACGAAGGCAGCTGCTGTTGGTAATGCACCATCATGTGTCTGTCTTTCTTTGCCCGATGAATGGACGGGTGGCTGCAGCTGACATAGACGCATACGAAGAGCTTGACGGCCGCAACAAAGTGTGGGCATCCGGAGGTAGGCACACACATCCGTCCATCCATCCATCCATCCGTCCATCCATCCATGGTCTTTTGCTCTCTGGGCCCTTTGCTGCCTGGGTGTCTGCCTGCCTGCCTGCCTGCTTGGCTGCCTTCAGGCCCTTGTGAGAAAACCAGCGATTGCCCAGACTGGCGGCAGCACGGTCCCCACCAGCCCGCTATGTACTCCTATTTCCACGTTGACGTCGAATTCGACAGCAAGGGAGACGTCAAGGCCTTCCACACAGCCGACACCGGAACATGCAAGGCAAGCAAGAAATGAAAAGGAAAGGAAAGGAAAGGGAAGGAAGCACCCGCATCTGTCTAGGTGACTCAATCAGTCAACAAACACTCTTTTCCATCCATGTGCGTATGTGTGTGTGTGTGTGTGTTTAGACCGCTGGCGAGAAGTGGGACGCCTGCGGGATTACCCAGAACTACCGACGGGACTGCAAAGACGGCCTCGAATGCCAGGGCTGGAAGAAAGGAGGAAAGCATATCTTTGCCAATATGTATTTTGGTTCGTCATCCTCCCTCGGCTATATCTGCCACGAGCCACTCAATTAGGACTAACTGCCGCCACTATAGCTGGGCCACTCCGGCCGGCTTCTGCCGAGTAGGGGCCTGCCTTCTTTTCATCAACGTATCGGATAGCAGGCTGCCCAGCCAAGTGACTCGTTCATGTGCGTGAGGGGAGGGGAGGGGAGGGGAGGGGA